TTTTGCTATAGGGCGCGTGCACTTGCCAGAAAGACAGAGAAAGACAGAGAGACAGAAAAATCACCCCCCGGGGGGATGGTCACACCACAATCCCTTCTCCTTCATTCTCCTCTTGGGATCTTGGGCATGCACGCACACGCGCCCGGAGTGAGTTTAAGCCACTGGGTCCGAGACGCGAACTGTGGTCAACTGCATCGGAATCCAGTGACATAGCCATTATGCCAACTGCTGGTCCCAAGGTTCCTTGATATTTGAACTCGTGTCACTTAACCATGGTGGATGCTCCGTGGGCAGGGCCTGTCATATGGTGGTGTGGATGCTCTGTGGGCAGGGCCTGTCATATGGTGGGGTGCCGAGATGGGCAGCCCCAATGTTTGTATGGCTGACAGGGGTTTTCCCTTTTGACTTGGGTCAGATGCACTTCCTGAGACAGGAAAGCCTGTCCCTGGTGTCTGGTTTGGGAGGGGCTGGGGTCTCACTGCCTGGGAAGTACATTTGCACTGGGCGTCCCTGTTTTCTGTGGAACTCCCCCTTAAGGCCAGAGGCTCCCTGGTTCAGCCACTTCACCTCAAACTCTTCTATGGGGGTAGGGGGTGGGGAAGGGGTCCGGGACTTTCACCCCACCCCTCGGTGTCAGCACCCCTGCTAGTCCCAGCAGTGCCAAGTGCCCTATGGTACATAGCCCTAGCCGGTACTGTAACACGGCCTCCCTTCTCAGAGCACACATTGATCAGAGACCTCCACAACCTAAGGACACCTGACCCTTGTGCACTGTCTTTTTTTAAAGTTTGTTTATTTCACAGTCAAGAAAGTTCGAGGGCAGCACCCCCAGCAGGTCCTGACACCACAGTGTACCCCAGCTTCCTGGGGCGTGGGCGTGCATGGGACCAGCGTACTCAGGGAGGTCTCCGGACATGAACCTAGGACCTTCCAGCCAGCTCAGCCTCACAGAGCGCCGTGTTCTCCCACTGCACTCTTTGTCGTGTTCTCCCACTGCACCCTTTCCGGCCCCCACTCTCCCCGTCTTAACCGGCTTTTTTAGTACTTCACCGACCGCCATCTGTGGATTTCTGTTGTGGTCCCTCGTGGAACGCCAGGCCCTAGACTCCCCTCGCCACAAGCTAAAACGCATTTCTCAAAAAGGTCTAAGACCCAAGTGAACGCCTCTCGGAGAGCACCTCACAGTCTGGGATTGTGCTAAGCGGCCACACGGTGGAACCGGGGTCCGTGCCACCTCGCGCACCCGTTGAGAGATCTGCTCGGTGTTCGCGAAGGTCACACGTGGCAAAGAGCAACTGGGTTTCTTGGGTAGTTGGGCTGCTGGCGGGGAGGGGCCGTTCCTCGCCCTCACCCAGCTGGTGCGGTTGACAGACTTTCCCACCCTCGGGGGAATCACGGCTAATTCGGATGGAAGAAGGAACCCGGGGCTCTGGGGTGCCGGGGGGATCTCAGCTTGCCTGTGTGGCCAGGGAGTCCTTCGCTCCGCTCAACAACTATCCTGAAAACTTTGGTCACTGTGTGGGTCGCAGCCAGAGACCTAAAGGGTGTGGGTTTAGGGCAGAAGGAAACTCGTCGGTCTTGGACACCCCAACATCATTCTCTCCGGGGAGCCTTGAAACGAATAGATCACTGTGGATGGTACTAACCGGGTGGACGAGAAGAGGGTCAAAGGGGCAGGCTGGCTTAGAGCGCTGCAGCATGCCCGGCACGAGACTGTGGTCTGTTTTCTTTCTTTTTTTCTCTTTCTTTCATTCTTTCTTTCTTTGTCTTTCTCTCTCCTTCTCTTTCTTTCTTCCTTCTTTATCTCTCCCTTTTTTTAAAGAGAGTTATTTTATTTATTTATTTATCTATTTTTTACTATAAGTCACATGCGTGCACCAGAGGCCGAGAGAGAGAGAGGGAAAGGGAA